CTCCCTTGTTCCCCTGCTTGCACCCTGCACCTGCTCAGGACAGCTCTAGTTCCCGTTCTCTTCAGAGCACCTGACTCCAGCTCAGAGGAAAACGGGCCCCATGTAGAAGATCAGCACTAGAGAGTCATGGTTTGCACTCTGTCACCCCTGCCATTCTTCATCGACACAGAAAACATAAGCCCTTCCCACGGGGAAATGGGAAAATGTGAGCAGTACCCAAAGCCCAACCGCTTTTCCCAGAAGTAGCATCTCCACCTGTTCTGTTGCTGGATTCTCTCACAGATGACCTTGCTACAAATCTTGACTGCCATTTACCACCTTTTTTCCCTTTGTTTTACGCTGGGCGCGCTGCTCATCCTCCTGGACTCCCAGCTTCCTCGGCCTTATTGTAAGGACCCCACAGGGTTTCCGGTAGGTTTGGTAGGGCCTTACGCGTATTGGAAGCTGGCCCCACACGTTGCCTCTCAGCTTTTGCCCTTGGGGTTGTCTTACCAGCCATTCACTGCCCACCGCCTCGATGCTGCCCCGCTCGGCCCCCTTGAAGGCCCGGGTTTACCCTGACGCAGGTTTTGCTGTTCTTTCACTGCACTGATAACCAGCGGCCTCCCAGGGACCACAGGCCAGAACTTCTCAGAACCTGGAGTATGAGGGACCTCGGGAAAGCAGGGATTTCGGAATGCCACGTCCATTCTGTGCAAGCAGCTCTTCCTTAAGAGGAAATCATTCTGAGAAGGCAATGAATAGTAGCCACATGAGTAGCTGTGTGAAGGAAGATGGATTATACCGTCACCCCTTTGGGCACAAAAATAATTTTCAGTGAAAGGTTAAAACCGTCATGTTGTATCAATGAGAACTGTTCCATTATTCCAAGAATGATTGATTGGAAAATACTTCACTTACAGGAACATCACAGTGACACAATACAGCTTCTACTTTTAAAGCACTTTACATTTGAAAAAAAAAATCTTACCAACGTGTAAAAATAGTAACACTGAAGATGTGAATCAACAGCCAAGTAGTTTATCGGCACTTGAAAGCCTTGTGGTATAAATAGATTCAACAATGGGAGTATGAAGTAACTCTGGGCCATGGCAGCCTAAAGTCGCGCGTGGCTCACCTTGGGAGAGACCTCGTGAAGAGAAGAACTGACGGACCTAGGACCACGAGGTTGGGGCAACTCAAAGTACTAGGCTGGGCACTGGGAAAACACGGGCGACAGATGATCAGTGCCCTAAAGAGCGTTCAGATTTTCCTGGGCCACAGGCCTGTACACAGAGAAGCACAAGGTATTCAGGGTCCTGAGAAATACAGAAAGGTACTGAAAAGAGATTCTCTTCAGCTCAGTGATTTCCTTCCCTTTGTCCTCCTCCCTCCTGCCTGCCTGCGGCCCACAAACACCTACTGGATGGTTTAACTTGAACAGAGCAAGGAATCAGATGTATGCACCTCTGCTCTTACTAGCGACCAGGGACAAAGTATTTCGGGTCTCTGAGATTGGAATCCCGCATCTGAGGGGGCTGGCGGTGGGGGTCACTGTAAAGATGAAATGAACTCAGTGTCCTGTGTATGGATATAAAGGAGGTGGCTTTGCTGCCTGAGGCGGTGCGGCTTTGCTGCCTGAGGCGGTGCCGCTTTGCTGCCTGAGGCGGTGCCGCTCCGCTGCCTTCTTACCCCTCCGCTTCTCTGTAAGGAGTGGCACTTTTTCACCTCTTGCACACTTAAAGGCAGAGCTTTTAAACCACTGTTGGGTGTAATGTGGCTTTAGATGTCTGACCGGAAGGCCCTGTCGGCCGGGGCCGCTCTATGTCTGTTTGGCCCGACTGCTGCCCTCTTTTGTGAAGAACGTGGAACCTCGTGCGTCTTGCTCCTCGTACCGGAGAGTTGGCTCATCGGCAGGCAGCAGTTGCGTACTCACGACTCTGAAGGGATTGTGTAACCATGAGGGGTTACCAAGAAAACATGTAGATGAGATTTCTGACCTCTCAGAAGAGTCTAACACGTAAGGAATGCCTCAGCCAGGGTTCTTGGTTAAAAACAAAAGAACCAGCTGTGGCTGTACCGTTGCAACAGTTCCGCCACTGATGTCTTGAACTGCAGTTTGTCAGCAGTCACTGTCACAGCCAGGAAGTGTCCCCCAGTCCCCGCAACTTTCAAGCTTAGCCCTGGGTTGCAGAGGAAACTGTCCCAGTTTCTGGGGTGTTCCCAGACACAGGAGGGAGTTTCTCTCAGGTCGCTCCACACTGACTTCTGGCAGGGGCCCACATAAATTTTTTTTTTGATACCAGGGATCGAACTCAGGACCTTGGGCTTGCGAGCCAGGTGCGGTGCCACTGAGCTAAATCCCCAGCCCCACATAATTTTTTTTTTTTTTTTTTTTTGGTACCGGGGATCAAATTCGGGTCCTTGCACTTGGGCAGCAGGCGGCGAAACCACTGAGCTAAATCCCTGGCTCCATAATTTTTTTTTAAAGATTGAAATCATGCAGAGGCAAAAAGTTGTCCCATTTGGAAATTTACATAGTGACGTGTTCAGGGTTTGAGGGGGTTGTCTTTTGTTTTGGCTATTGTTGGTTTTGGGGGTGGGTTGGTTGGTTGGTTGGTTTTTTGAGACAGGGTCTTGCTATGTAGTTCAGGCTGACTTTGCACTCACTATATAACCCAGGCTGCCCTTGAACTTGCAACAGTCCTCCTGCCTCAGCATCTGAGTGCTTGGATTACAGGTAGGTGCCACCATGCCCTGCTTCAGGTTTTAAATTCTTTAATAATGTTTTTAATTTTTAATTTTAAAAATATCTAGCCAGGCATGGTGGTACACTCCTATAGTCCTAGAACTCAGGAGGACGAGGCAGGAGGATCACTGTGAGTTTGAGGTCCGCCTGGGCTACCTAGTGAGTTCAAGGCCAGCCTGAACTACATAGCAAGACCCTGTCTCAAAACACAAACAACAGAGTGGGGATTTGGCTCAGTGGTTCCGTCGCCTGCCTTGCAAGCACGAGGTCCTGAGTTCGATTCCCAGTACCAAAAAAACCAACAACAACAAAACACAAGCACTCCCATACTCTTAGCCTAGTTTCACTAGTTATTCACATTGTGCCATGTGTTTTATTGATAATTCTCAAAATACATAAATATCTTTTTTTTTTTGTCAAGTGAGATTTTTATTGGAATTGAATTGAACCTGTTGTTGAGTTTGGCAGAATTGACATCTCAATAATAATGAGTGTTCTAGCCCATTAATTTCTCACCCTTATTTATGTTTTTATTAATTCTTCTTTCTTTAGCAAAAGTACGTGGACCTTACACACATTTAGTTAAATTAAGACCTAAACACTTCATATTTTTATATTCTTGTAAATGGTATTGTTTTGAAATTTTTGATTTCTTATTGTTCATTGTTGGTATACAGAAATGCAATTTTTTTTATTGACTTTGTACCTGTTACCCAGCTAGTAGCTTTTGGCTGAATTTCTTAGGATTTCTACATAGGTCATTATGCTATCTTCATTTTTTTTTTTTGGTACCAGGGATCGAACTCCGGTCCTCGTGCTTGCGCAGCAGGGAGCGAAACCACTGAGCTAAATCCCCGCCATTATGCTATCTTCAAAGAAAAAGCGACTTCGTCCTTTCTAGTGTATATACCTTTCTTCTTGTCTTTTCACACTGGCTAGGCAATCCAGTACAATCCTGAGTACAAATAGTAAGGACAGAGATCCTGGGTTTGTCCCCAATATGCAGGACAAACCATTTAGTCTCTCTCATTACATGCGATGTCCACTGTAGATCTTTCACAAATACTGTCAAGATCAAGTTACACTTTCTATTTCAAAAGGCCTGAATTTTTTATCATGAATGACTGTAGAATTTTTACTTTTCTTTTTTTTTTTTTTTTTTTACTTTTCTTGCTCCTGTTGATACTGTAGTAAGTTTTGTTCTTTGTGATGCTTCAGTTTGAATCTGAGGCCATGGACAATGCTAGGGAAACACTGCCATTGAGCTACACCCCCAACCTATATATTGAACTATATTGACTTTGCATAAATGTTAAGCCACTCTTGAATTCCTTGGGTCAATTATACTTGGTCATGATTTGTATATGATTTTATGAATATATATGTATGTATATACATACATATATATTCAGTTCACTTTTAAAAATTTAAGATTTTAGGGGGCCAGGGATTTAGCTCAGTGGTTCTGCCGCCTGCCTCGCAAGCACAAGGATCCGAGTTCGATCCCCAGTACCAAAAAAAAAATTAAGATTTTGAGCTGAGCATGGTGCCTCATGCCTGTAATCTCAGCAGTCTGGGTAACTGAGCTACCAAGATTGCGAATCCAAGCCCAGCCTGGGCAATTTAGTGAGACCCTGTCTCAAAATTTAAAAATTTTTAAAGCTAGGAATGTAGCTCAGTGAAACACCCTGGGTTCAGACCTCAGTACTACACACACACACACACACACACACACACACACACACACAAGATTTTGCATTTATATTCATGAGAGATGTTGATCTATGTTTTTTTGTTTGTTTTTGAGACAGGGTCTCACTATATAATTCAAACTGCCCTTGAACTCACAGTGATCCTCCCACCTCAGCCTCCCAAGTGCTGGGATTATAAGTGTATACCACCATGCCCAGCAGATCTATTTCTTTTCTTGTAATGTCATTGTCGGGCCTTGGTATCGTGGAAATGCTGGCCTTACGAAATGATTTGGAAAGTGTTCGCTCGACCCTTCTATTTTCTGAGTCTGTATAGATTAGTATCACTTCTTGCTTAAATGTTTGCAAGAATTCTCCAGTGAAGACACCTACTTAGAGTTTTCTTTGTGGGAAAACTTCCCACTTTCTTGAATGTATATATTTTTTTAACACAGTGTGTTTATCAGCTTTTCATCTCTGTGACCGGACACCTGAGAAAAACAAGGGGAGAAGGACCTGTTTTGGCTCATGATTTCAGAAGTTTCAGTCCATAATCACCTGGCTCCAATGCTGTTAGGCTTGTGGTGAGGCAGAAACATCAGGGCAGAAAGGTGTGGCAGAGCAAAGCTGCTCACCTTACGACACCAGGTCCCAGAGAGAACAGGAAAGAGCCCAAGAGGGAGGGCTGGGGACAACACATAGCCTTTAAAGGCACAACTCCAGGACCCACTTCCTCCAACTGAGCCTCACCCCCTAATAGCCATTCAGCTATGAACCCCTCCGTGGATTTCAATGAGGTCAGTGCCCTCGCATTGCAATACTTTAGTTCCTTTTAATTTCTTTCTGTTTTACATTCCCTGTCACTAGTGTCTGTATTTCATTTAGTACTTGCACAAGTTGACTTACTGCTTTCCATGCATGAGAACATCTGGTATTTGTCTTCCTGTGTCTGGTTTGTTTCAGTCAACATAACATTTTCCAGTTCCATCCATGTTGCTGCAAATGACAGAATATCATTCTTTTTTGTGACTGAGTAGTATTCTGTTGTATAAAAATCCCATATTTTCTTTCTCTCTTCTTCCATCAAAAGGCATTTGTTGGGCCGGAGATTTAGCTCAGTGCTTCCATCACCTGCCTTGCAAGCTAAGGACCGGAGTTCGATCCCCAGTACCAAAAAAAAAAAAAAAAAAAAGGCATTTGTGTTGGCTCCATGTTTGGGCTATTGTGATTAGTACTACAATAAACATGGGGTGCAAATGTCTTTTTTATATAAAGATTTCATCTTCTTTGGGTGTGTAGGTAGTAGTGTAATTGCTGGATCATAGGATATTTTTAGTGTTTTGAGGCATCTCCATACTGTCTTCCATAATGACTGTACTAACTTAGAGTCCCACCAACAGCAGATGAGAATTCCCATTTTTCCATATCCTCACCAGCAACTGTTATCTTTTTTTTTTTTTTTGGTACCAGGGATCAAACTCGGGTCCTTGCGCTTGCGCAGCAGGCAGTGAAGCCACTGAGCTAAATCCCCGGCCCTAATTGTTATCTTTTTGATGATAGTCATTCTAACCAGAACTCTCCTTCCCATTTTAGAACTGGAAGAACTTAATTTTGCTGTCTCTCAGCAGTGTAGAGTACTGTGAATGAAAAAAAATTAAATTGTGAAAATCCTTCATGCCCAAATAATACAGTTCTGCCAAACTGCTTCACTGGCTTTGGCAATGGTGAAAAGCAATTTAAGTGGTTACAATCGAATGTTTTCACATACCAGTACAATATTTCCTTTACTTTTTCTTATAAATTTTTAAATTGAGACATAATGTTAGTACATCCGTATGGGGTACATTATGGAAATTCGATATATGAATACAATGCGTATAATCAAATCAAGGTGATGAGCATTTCCACCTCTTCAACCATAATCACTGTCGTGCACTGGGAACTTCATACTCATCTAGTCATTTTAAGATGTATCATAGACTGTTTTAACAAATAGTTACCCTACTATGCTATAGAAGAACCAAAAGTAATTCCTTCACTCTGTTTTGATGGTCTTTATTAAACTTCTCTCCTTTCCCCTCCACTTGCCCTTCCCAGTCTCCAGTGAGCTCTGCTCATTCTGTTCTTCTACAAGATTGACTTAACTGATTTCCACAGATGAGAACCTGTGCTATGGTACAATATTTCCAAATGTTTTTTTAAAGTCTTGTCTGAAGCCAGCTAAATGCCCTGTTAGCCAGCAGGAACATGAGAAACGAATTCCTGTCCATGAGGCAGCTTCCCCCTCAGCCACGTGCTGTGTTCTGGTCAGGATGCCAGGTCAAAAGGAGTCACAGGGCCGGGGATTTAGCTCAGTGGTTCCACTACCTGCCTCACAAGCCCACGGTCGAGTTCAATCCCCAGTACCAAGAAAAAAAAAAAAAGGACTCACAGAGGTGTGGCTTACCTGGTCATTATATATTTTTATTATCTTAAAATTTTTTTAAATATTACAAGCTTATATAAAATCAATATAAAAGTACATAAAGGAAAAAAGATTATTGCCCTCACACCTTGCAAATAAGAAAAACAAGTGTAACAACTTGATACCTATCCATCCTTCTTCTTCTCTGTGTTCTTAAAAAAATACATGAAAGGGCGGGAGATTTAGCTCAGTGGTTTCACTGCCTGCTGCACAAGCGCAAGGACCTGAGTTTGATCCCCGGTACCAAAAAAAAAAAAAAATACATGAACACTCATATACTATAGGTACTTTTCTTTTTTCCTTCTCTCATTCCTCCTCTAAATGAGATTATACTGAAACCTTTTTTTTAGCTTAACTAATGGACATTTCTCTAGGGTATGTACACATACTGCATAAACTGCATACTTTTCCATGATGAGAATGTATCATTTATTCATCCATTCTCCTACTTGATAGTCAGTGGTCTGCCTTTGGAGACAATGCCACAGTCAGCATCTCTGTCTGTAGATCCCTAAGTTGTAGGAGCTCTGGATTCTGTTGGAGTCCTGGAAACAGGGTTGTTCAGTCAGGGCAGACCGAACAATGAAACCAAATGCTCTGTAAGATTAATATGTACTGTACTAATAAGACATGTGCTTATGGAAAAAGCACAATAAGCTCTTTGGAATTTGGAGACAGGATCTCACTAAGTCTCTAAAACTTGTGATGCTCCTGCCTCAGCTTTTCAGAATACTGGGTCAGGTGTGTGACACTTCACCCAGTTGATCTGCCTGTAATTTAATTTTGTGCGTAATGTAAGGAGGACTCAGGTCTTGGAATCTTAGAGTTTGCTATAACTTTTTTTCCCCTGGTATTGGAGATTTGACCTGGGGTACTCCACTGAGCTACAACCCCCCCCCCTTTTTATTTCCTATTTTGAGATTTACTAAGTTGCCCAGGCTGGTCATGAACTTGCGATCCTCTTGCCTCAGCCTCCCAGAGTGTTGGGTTTACAGGTGTGTGCCACTGCACCTGGATTTCTGTTCATTCTGATCCTTCTTCCTCTGGTGTCTTTGTTCTTTAAGGCCTGCCTTCTCTCTAAAAATCTAGCTTAGACTATAAGGACTTCCTTCTTCAAAGGAGGCTTTCTTCCAAGCTTAATATCTAATAGCATTTATGAACTGCCACAGTATTCAGCACTTAATCCACAGTAGATTTTGCTTCTTTCCTTCTGCCCATCACTGCTGAGCACACAGCTCTCTGAGTACTTCAGCTATAGCTGACACAGTCTAAGGAGAGCTGAAGAACAGCCTCAGGATTTGTCGTGCAAGTCTTGAGTCTCAGGAACCAGCAACAGTGAAAAACCGGAAATACCCCTGACAGGTGTTAAATGCCAGAATTTTTTCAAGTGAGACTGTGTAGTCACATTTAAATTGTTTTAAGCATAGCTGTCAGATGAACACATGAGGAGTGTCTCCCTATCTGAAGGCAGAGGACGATGGACTTCATGGTGTTTTCTCTTTGCTTCTCTATGGGCTTCTCCAACTTGGATTGTGGAAAATGGAAAGAAACCTGCCAAGTCCCTGTAGTTAGTTTATGAATAACATCTGAACGTCTCTCACCACTCTACATGCATTCATTGGTAATGGAGAAATGACTAATTCTCTGGTTAGGCAGAGAATATACGAGATGACCCTGGGGCAGCTTGTAATAGAGCAGAAAGCAAGCATTCAAAACAGAATGATTGAGCTGTGTATGTGGGGGGCCTGGGAGACAAACGAAAAAAAGCTCCCAGTGGCCAAAGCTAGAACAGTTTGAACAACAAAATGATGTACTGGATAACAGCCCAAATATATATCCATGAGCTCATCCTGATATAAATAAGTGACTGAATAAATAGGAGAAAAGAGACAAATCTCACGTACAGAATAATTCAAAAAAATTTACATTAATACTCCACCCTCAAGGAGACACAGCATAACTTCACATATAACTCCTCGCCCCTTAGGAATGGCATGTGCATGGTGATTTGCCTCACAGGAATACAACATGAAAAGAGAAAGCAGAGTGACTTCACAGTGGAGAAACCTGGCAAAGGCTCTTCTAGCTAGGTGACCAAGGGTAACATCAGTGACAGGTCACGCTGGTCGTACATAACACTTGATATGACAAGAATGACACCTCACTTGTGTGGTTTTCCTTACAAAAACCACCACACTCTAACCATGAGAAAAACAGACAAATCCCTATTGAAGCCCATTCTACACAATTCCTGACCAGTCTTCACCAGAACTATCAGTCGTCAAAAATAATGTCTAAGAGGGCCGGGGATTTAGCTCAGTGGTGCCACCGCCTGCCTCGCAAGCACAAGGTCCGGAGTTCGATCCCTGGTAGCAAAAAAAAAATAATAATAATATCTAAGAAAGTTGTAATCTAAGGAGTCTAAGGAAACATAACAATTAAATGTAAAATGTTATCTTGGATGGGACCCTGGAACATTAAAAGGACACTGGGCCAGGGATTTAGCTCAGTGATTTCGCCACCTGCTGCATAAAAAGGACATTACGCAGAAACGAATAAATCTGAGTAAAGTATGGAGTTCAGTTAATAATATATCAGTATTATCTCATTAATTAAAATGAACATACCACCGTAAGATATTAGCAGTATATGGAAACTTTCTGCACTTTTCTTGTATCTTTTCTGTACGTCTTTATTCAAATAGTTTTAAAATACGCTGTTGGGGCAAGACTGACCCCTGCTTATCTTCACAACTGTGCTTTCTGTCACAGGGTGCTGGTGACAGTTTTGTGGGAGCCTTAGCCTTCTACCTGGCTTACTACCCAAGTCTGTCCTTGGAAGAAATGCTCAAGAGATCCAATTTCATCGCAGCAGTGAGCATCCGGACCGCAGGAACACAGTCATCCTATCCATACAAAAAAGACCTTCCACTCACTCTGTTTTGAGTGCTGTTAACCCCCAGATAAATATACCTGGAAATAAAATGTACTTGTGGGTGGCCAATCTTAGCAAACACTTACTAGAAAATCTTTTTTTCTTTGCAAGTATTATGTCCATTTACTAAATCATCTTCAAGCTTTCATTTTTGAGTAACAATCCTTTTTGCTGTCCATGCATTCACACAAGGCAACTAGAATTAGATTCCACAACCCAGGTCTGTGCAAACATTACCACTCTTCAGGGCCAGCAGATTGTTAATGTTATGTGCACCACACATCAGGGGTGGTGAGCACCAGTGTCCAGCACCAGAAGAGAGAACGTCCAGGAGAGCGAAGGGGCCTAGGACCGATCTCCCAAGCACCTTCTGGGAGAGGCGTCTGATACTCTTGAGCTTAAGACTGTCCAAGTATCTCTTGTTGCTTCGCTGCCTTCGGGCTGCCATGAACTGTTGCACCTCTGCCACCCTGCCTTGGAGCCAGCCAATTATGGACAAAACCTCTATGAACTGGAAGCTAAATAAACTGCTTTCCCTCTAACTTTGGGTGTTGATTATTTTGTCTCAGTAACGAGAGAAAAGTTAAGACAAAATTTGGTACCAGAGAAGCCGGGTCATTGCTGTGACATTACTGACCATGTGGTTTAAGAGCCTTTGGAACTGGCATGTGGAAAGGAGAAGAGTCAAGATTCGGAGATGCTGGCTGAAGAAGTGGAGCTAGAATGCCTTAGGCTATTCTGTAGGGGAGGTTCTGGTCAGTGCTCAGATGATCAGAAAGCCCGTAAAGACCAGGCTTGAGATGTTTCTGCTGGGAAGAAGGACCACATTGGCTGCTGGACTCCAGACCATGTGTATTATGGCTCGGCAGAGAGTTTGTCTGCATTTTGCTCATGTCCAGAGACTGCCTGAGACTGAGATTAAGGGTGGTGGACTTATTAATCTCACAAAAGAAATTTTAAAGCAGGCTAATGTTGAGGCCGAGGCATGGCTGCTGATGGGGACTTTCAGCCAGATCTATGTTGAGAATCAAGAGCAAAAAGCCCAGCAGAATGATTTAAACTGTTTTTAGTTTGGCCAGAAAGGAAGCTCCAGTGAAGCTATGGACTGCAAAAATAGGGCAGAGATCTTGATTGCTGAGAAGGAACCAGAGACTAGAGAAGATGGCCTGAGGGCACCACAAGAAGCAGCAGGACTCCACCCTTTGCAGCCTCTAAATTGCAAAAGTGAAAGAAGGGCTTCGCTTTGAGAAATGAGTCCCAGAGCACCATGTTCCGGAATGACAGCAGCCTAGAAAATTTGCTCAAATTGGATTTAGAGTGCTTGGCAATCTAGGCCCTCGACCCTTAGAGTCAAGAGAGAGGGAAGACTGGCTACTACTGTCCCAGCAGGCAGCAGACCTTGGTGTCATCCACGTGGCACTGGTTTTAGGTACACGCAGAATGGAAGAGTTGTGGGGTCAGGAAGGCGTCCACTCAGATCTCCGAAGAAGGCCTGGGAGGCCAGGCAGCGTGCCCAAGAGGGCAGTGTGTGCAGCTGTGTGAAACCAAAGGTGCAGTGGAGAACCCAGAAGTTTGGAGAAGCCAGGATCTTCTGAGGAAAACTCCAAGGAGGGAGCAGAACCTGTCCAAGAGACAAGCCACAGAAGCTACAACCACTGGCAGTGCTGTAGGGGTGGAGTCACCAAAGCCTTTTGGAATTCCCAACTTGCCACAGATTGCCAGGGATGCTGGAAGTGGAACTGTGGGATTTAATGTTTGCCCTGATGGATTTTGGTCCTGCCTTGTTCCCATTTCTTGGTATCCTCCTGTTCATAATCTTTTGGAATGGAAATGTCTGTCTTGTGCCTTTGAATGTTGGAAGTGTTTGACTTTCTTTTCCTTTGTACAGGGGCTTGCGGCTAACAGTCTGCCTTAAATCTCAGAGGAGACTGGACTTGGAACTTTTCAGCAATGCTGAAACTGTTAGGACTTTGGCAACTTTTAGAGATGGACTAAATTTTTTTTTTTTTTGCATAAAGGGGTACGCATGAGTCTTTGGGGGGCCAGAGGCAGAATGTTACAGCTTGTGTCTAGATGTCCCCCGAAAGCTTCATGCAGTCTCTTTCGGAGGTGGGTGACTCTAGAGCATGTGATGCTAGGATTAAGGGTATATGATTACTAAACCACTACACGTGAGTGATTGGTTTGGCATGGCCCTAATCCTGGTAGTCTGAATAAGAGACAGAAAGTTGCTGTTAAATTCTCTTGTTGCTTTGCTACCTTTGGGCTGCTGTGAACTGTGGCCCCTCTGCCACCCTGCCTTGGAGCCAGCCGATTATGGACTGAACCCTCTACAAACTGTAAGCTAAATAAACCTTTCCCCCTTAAAAAAAAAAAAAAAAAAAAAACCTGTCAAAGTAAAGCTAAGTTGTCAATCCTGTGAGTTTGAGTATTTATTGAAATATTTCAATGTATGTGTCAGCAACCGACTGATGTGAACACCCACATTTGGCTCAAGAGCTGAATAAACAGGTTATTTGTTAGGCCAGATGTTAAGGCTCTGTTTTCTAAAATGATCTGAGTATGGCATAGCCCTTTACATTGATTTAGCTAGGATCATGTAAAAGATTTTTCTTGTAATCCAAAACTACTGTATACAATTTCAATCTAAAAATAGGCAAGATCTCACCTGTTACTGCTTTGAACCAAAGCTTTAATAAAAGATGCCAAAAAAATAGCTGACTATAATGCCACAGCACTTAAAACTCAACAACTGTTTACATCTAATTCCATCTCCACAAAGCTGCTCTTGTGTTTCTCTGAGAGGCTTAGACTGGGCCTGTGGAGGGAACACCTGTTATTTTGGGACAGGACTGGTTTCTTAATGCTTTGGCCAGAGTGAGCACTCTTTTATTCTCATATCATTTATCATACAAGTGCTTTCACTGAGGTAGGATGTGAACTAGCAAAGCTTAAGGGGAAAAAGCCATGGTCTCCTGAGATGACCCTTTCAGAAAGAAATCTGACAGATAAAGGGGAAAACTCGTTTTGAAAATTTGTGGGAATCAAGAGCCTGAGAAAGTGTATGTATCTGGGCAGGGTGGTACTGTAGCTCTTATCTGAACATCAGAATTATCAGTGGAATTTCCAAGCTGGTTTCTAAACTGTAGCCACCATGCTCCAGAAGCCTAGGAGTAGAGTAGCTTTATGGAAATACAACATAGCTCCACTTAGTTTCTTGGTGTTTGCCTCAGCCTCCGGAGTGCTAGGATTACAGGTGTGTGCCACCATGCCCAGCCGCCTCTTAGTTTAAAGATCTAGGGGATTCGGAGTCCAAAGCTGTCTCTAAAAATTCCTAGCTGCTGCTCTGGTGATCTGGGATTAAGAATATGAATCAATGGCATTATTCCTAATTATATAAGCACAAATCAAAACCCTAAGCTCTCTTGGTTTCCTTTCTCACCCTTCCTGTCCACCCTTGTCATCCGTCTGTTAACCCACTGTTATTACATGGAAGTTTCTAAGGTTACCTGGAGTGCTATTCTACCTTTTCTATGAAATACTAGGAGGAGCAACCTAGAAGCTCTTACACAGCTCTCATTATGGAAAAATGTCTTTTATTATATGAAACAATGGCTATTTCTTGGTAATGTGGTTGATTTCTAAATTGCAAATAGTGGAGGAAGACATCACTAAGAGACAATAGCACAGGCTATTTTAATATTTTTATTAAGGGCTATAAAAATATCCCGAAAGATAAATAAATGTGATACAATGATATCTGTCCTAATATGAAGAACTTTCTTTCACCACATTGTTCCCTTTCACAATGGTCTCCGAATCACAGGAGGCAGTTGATGCCATGCCATTTCCTCTTCTTTTATTACAGGCTGTGGGGTTTCTGAATCAGAATCCCGCCCTCGGTCTTCTCATTTATAAATCAAATTCATTTCAATCCATTGTTTAGAGAGAGCGTATTTTTTTCTGCTCCACAAAGAGGACTTTTTTTTTCACTGTAGGGGGGAGAAAAAAGGGTTGTAGCAGAAAATTCAGAAGTGTCATCATTTTTATTAAAAATACATATCACATGGGCTGGGGATGTAGCTCAGTGGTTCCACTGCCTGCCTGGAAAGCAGAAGGTCCCTGGTACCAAAAAAAAAAAAAAAACGTATCACAGCCTAATGCCTCTGCTTTTTCTTATTTTACTATTCCTTTGACAGGAGAACGGAGCTGACTTGAGAACTCAGCTCCTCAATCCCAGAGCCCAGAGAAGGTGGGAGACAGCTTAGAGAATGAGAAGGATCCTCTGTGCTACCTGAGGTCATAATCCATCTACTTGAAATACTCACATGAAAAATAGAAGCAAAAATGGTGTGGTTTTTTTTATTTCTTTTGATACCGAGGATGGAACTCAGGACCTTGAGCTTGCCAGCAGGTGCAGTGCCACTGAGCTATATCCCTGGCCCTTAGTTGGGGTTTTTTTGCTACCAGGGATCAAACTCGGGACCTTGCACTTGTGAGGCAGGCGGTGGAACCACTTTGCTAAATCCTGGCCCCTGGAAGTAAAAATGGGAAACACTCAGTGTCTCCACCCAGTTGATAGAGATCCACTCGGCAGTAGGTATGCAAAAACAGGCTGGAAGCTGGACTCCAAAACAGCACTAAGAACTGAGCAGACCACAGAAGAGAGTAACAGCCTGGTGCAAAGGATAGATACCGTGGAAACTTACTTCCCAGAGCCATTCAGTATACCCAAATATGAACACTTTAGTTTGGTAAGAAAGTATTATAACCAAAACCTCAACATTATCAATATTTCAGAGTAGTTCCCTGAAACAATACCAAAAGAAAGGGCTGTCTGCCTGGATGAAAGACGGGGAGCTAGATGCTATGAAATAGGGCTTCCATACTCCCAGGATGCCCCCTGGCTTGCCATTAACTGCCCACCGCCCCAACTCCCTCCCTCCCACTTAATTCCACCTAATGCCAAAAATAAGCAAACCAAAAAACACACCCTAGGAAAATCTAGAAACTCATGGGCTGGGGATTTAGCTCAGTGGTCCAGGCACCTGCCTAGAAAGGACAAGGTACCGAGTTCAATCCCCAGTACCAAAAAAACAAGACTGTCTCAAAAATCTAGAAACTCAAAGGACTGTGACCTAACAACTCCTTTATCCCCACCATACAAGGAGATACTCTACCTGAGATGCCCAAACTGTCTATGATTAAGAATTAGGGCTGGGGACGCAGCTCAGTGGAACAGCACTTGGCCAGTGTGCACAAGGCCCTGGGTTGGATCCCGAGCAACACAGAAAGAGAAAAGAGAGGGAGGAGGGGAGGGGAAGAAGGAAGGAAAGAGAGTGGGGGGGTTAGCTAGGGAGCTTATTTAAAATACATTCCCATTTCTTACCTCCACCCTATCATAATTTTAGTTCATCAGAGATAGAGTAAGACTGGAAGACTCTTTTTTAAAACTACAGCCAGGTGTCATTACACACCTGTAATCCTGGGAGTTGGGAGGCTGAGGCAGGAGGATCCTGGCGAGTTCAAGCCCAGCCTGGGA